ACATGGCAAGGTAATTGGGTGTGGCACTGGAATGAGGGCCAAGGAGTGGGTTTGTTTCGTTTATTTCTACTCAGTGTTGGAGTTATTAATATTGGTCATGAGACATCTGGTCTTTAAAAGGTGACCACAAATATTCTGCCACTTGAAATATACAAAAGCTAACTAGCCCGCGATGCCTAAATAATATGTCAACATTTCCCAGCCCATACTATAGTCAGTTGTAAAAAGCCATTTGAGATTCTGAATTCTTTGTGTGAAAACACAACTCAAATAATACCCACATTTCATTATGCATATTACCGGACTAAGCTGTTATTTAAAGGTAGTAACAAAATCTCATTTCTTCTTTAATTATGACACTAATTATAGAGAGTCCCACAAAGTACTAAAGCCTCAATTTTTTGCAAACCAGCCAGACAGGCCCGTTGAGAGCACACTTAAGACAATGCTTTGTTTATTTGTTTTTTCTTCTTCTTTTTTTTTTTTTTGGCACTTGCCTTATTTTAATGCGATTATGCCATAATACATGGCAATAAATCAATATAACCACTGACATTCCTAATTGTAACATGAATTTATTCCATATGACACAGGGCTAGGTCCAATCTCTTTGGTAAATATTATTTTAACAAGCAACTATCATTGTATTTGTAACATAATCTTCGTTAACATACCACTTTATTTTACAACTGGAAGGTAGTACAGGCACACCCTTCTCCAATGCGACGCTGACATTGTTGTGAATTTAGTGGGGTTCTCCACGACCCCCTTTGGGGTTTTACATACTTAGAAATATGTGTCAGGCTTAACTCATATGCAGAACGACACAAACAGCAGTCATTTTAACATTGACTGCCGAGCTCGGAGAAAGCTCTGTGGTGGTGGGAAGCTACATTTTCACGAAGTGAGCTCAGCTTTTGTGGATTGGATGCATACTCTGTTTCTGCTTCCCCCGCCCCCCATTCTCATTGTATGATGCCACCCTAAACATACGATGAAATTGCTGTGTAAAGGTACAAATGCCTTCTCTAGCTTCAGGTCTGAGAGGAGGGCCCAGACTATCACGGGATCTCGACAGCAAGGAAAACTCAGCTCTGCACTTGAACACGGGATGGTAGAAAAGGGGTCCCTTTACCATGTGACGTCGGGGTGGAGCAAGCTCCCCAACCATATCGTCCCCTCCTTCCTCTTCCTAGCCCTGTGTTCTCTCTCCACCACACAATGTTAACTTCTGGATGGGAAGCGTTCATACAACGGATCAGATGAAACCCTAGAATACATATGGTTCTAGAGCTACAGGATTTAGGGCTGGGTGAGCGTGCCGAGTCTTGGCAAAGCAGGTCATACCTACGTTCATGGCAGTGCGGGAAATCTAAGGAGAACGTACTGTCGAAACTTCTGTATTCTTAGGATTTGTTTTCATTTTTCTACTTGACTTTATGCATTGAAGGTGAAATTAAATAAGAACATAGCCTTTAAGGTTACATTATTCAGAGATGCGGCAGGCACTGAGTGGATGCAATTAGAAGTCCTGTCCATGACCTTGTTTGAGTATTTCTGTTAATATTTGTAGTCTCCCATTGTCTCGAGCCTTCCTATCACTCTCCGGTCTCCTCGAGACTTTGTGCACAATCGCCCTGACTATCTGGGAAGTGAAATGAGAGCTCGGAGCTCACACAGCCCCTGAGAAAAAGCAGTGGCCTTGGTGTTCCTCTTAGTGAAGCTGTGGGCAAATCAAATCATCTCCCTGCTTTAGTAAAGTTCCAGGAAAGGAACCGATTCAGACTGCATGAGAATAAACATTTTTTTCAAGGATATATATAGAGGGACATTTACCGAGAGAGATATTTAGTAAGTCAGCAAGAGATTGCTGGGTGTCACATACTGTGCTGGGCATTGGATCTGAGCCTCTGCACCAACCATGATCATTATCACAGAATCCACCTAAGACCTGTCTTAACCCTTTGCACGTACTGATCCCTAAGCTCTATCTTGGGATGATTTATCTTTCTTTCTTTCTTTTTAAGGTATCCAAAAAACAATTTAGACATCTAGACATGTCCAGAAACGCTCTGGACATGTGTCAGGCCATGGACACCCTAATACGGTCTCTCATTACCTAGGAAAGCTGGCCGGCTGCGGGCATGCAGACACAGCCATGGAGCCTACAGGAAGAGAGACCAAGTTCTAGTCAGCAGGCAGCACGGGCAGGCCCTCATCACATCCCAGCAGGCACTCCAAGCTGAGGGAGACGTGAGGAGCTTGGAGAGAGTCCACAGACACAGAGCTGCCATCAAAAGACATAATCGTGTGAGACATAACCTGAAGGGCAAGTTGAAGGAATGCGATGTGTTCACCAGGATAACAGCATGTTGGCCCTGGCAGGGACCGGCCTGGGTGAGGCCCGTCCTGGGTAGTGAGGAGGCAGTTCTCATGGTACATGGGGAGCATGGGACAAGAGATAATGGTTTCCAAGGCGACTTTTAGATTTCTAAAGAGATTTGGGTCTGTCAGAATTCGGAATGTGTGTATGTCCAGAGGAAGTTACAGATGGCCTTTTTCTACCCCCTTCCCCCAAATCAAGGATAAAGAGAGATAATCCCATTTCAAATGATAAGCCCTAACGGGAAGGTGAGGGAGGTTTCGGTCCAACACAAATCACTGGTAGCTGTGGGATTCCTGGATTCGACACGGGGAGCTGTTATTTAAAAAATGTTAAGTGTGCATGAGTATGGTCATGAGCACGTGTGTGTGAGTATGTGAGTTTGTGTGTATGAGGGGGCATAAGCATATCGTGTGAGAGTTTATGAGTGTGTGTGTGAGAGAGAGAGTGTGTGTGCATGTGTGTGTAGTAGACAAGATGGCTCTCATCTTCTTCCTTCCCAGAAAAACAAATATAAACATGTCCTGGCAACATTTCTCCAAAGAGAGCTGGCACTTCTCTGTGTAGACATAGGCTCTAGCTGCTCCATCCTTGAAGGAAAGAAAGCATGCCTTTCACAAGGCCACGTGCATTAGCCACCGGTCTATCACCTGGTGCAGTGAGACCGCAGATGGCACCAGCCCCAATGGAAAGGGGGGGCAAGGCAGAGGTAGGGGCCGGGGAGTCACATGACCACCACCTGCTGTCTATAAAAAGAGCTCACACCTCTTTCTTTACTACAGAAGAAAAAAGAGAAAGTGACATATGCTCCAAGTTCAATATATGACTCCTATACAGCTTTACTTTTATAACCAAGAAAAGAAAATAGCTTTCTTGTGGCAGGCATAGAAATTTAGTCTAATTTCCAAAGATTCGAATTATGACAAATGCCAAAATATGCGGCTGCATTGCAATAAAATTCCAAGGAAATGTCACTTTCCCCTAATTGGCCCATGTCTACTTTATTCAGGAGAGAATTAATAAAGAAAAAAAATCTGTTTTCCATCTCTCTGAGGTTCAGACAGTATTATGACTGTGGGGAAATTCTCAAATGCTTTAGAACTCATACTGCTTTCCCATTTTCTCTTACATATTATGAAGTTCTAGTCAGGCGAGATTATAGATTTCTACAAGTCTTGTGTCTGCCGTAGTTACTCAAAGCCAAGCAAACATCACCTTCACCTTTCCTTACACACAAATGGTGACGACCAGGCATGAGCCCCAGACTGCTCTGAGGGTCGGTCAGTAACTATTGTCTCTAGATTCCTTGGAAGAGGTCAATCATCATTGGCCTGGGGCTCCTGGGGGCAAGGGACAGTCACTTTCGGCCCCCTCTGTGCCTCCCTGCTGAAATAACACCACGCCCTACCATTTACTTGTCCCTAAAGTGCCAAGCATGACGCAAAGTGGTAAGGGAATAACTTGAAGTGAAAAGAAATGGGATGTGAACAACCTGAACGAAAACACAGTTCTTTCTCTGCCAGCAGTCGTAGGTGACTGCGATGGCGCCGCCTCCCCAAAGCCGGATTCCGCAGTAGACAGGCACCGCTTGAATTATTCTAGGGGTTAGTTTTTGCTTTTGTTTGTTTTAAGTAGATCATACGGTTTTCTAATGCTTGACTAGTGAGAAGTCTATTAATCTGTTATTAAGCATTCTGTTTTAATAATTATGGGGAATCCTGGTATTGGAAAAACTGCTTAAAACGTGACCGGGGTGACCGCTTGCTTGTTTGTTTGATAACACAAGGTGTTTCATATCCTCGTTGGTGTATGAATAGTCACTCTTGGATTCAATATGTTTAAATATCTTTCACCATTGCCTTGGGTTCCTGAGGAAGGAGCTGGGCCATCTTGGTAGTAACTTAAAGAGACATCGCAGAGAGGGGCATGGGAATTAGATGAGAAAAGGATCTTCAGTAAGAATCCACTGACTTTTGTTCAACGAGAAGTCATAGGTAGAGCAAGGCTTTTCTGAACCATGTTTACACGTTAGCTCCCGGATACAGGGCTCCATGGATACGACAACCCATTACAAGCCACAGGAAAGAGACTCGGAGGCCAGACTTCTAATCCGTAACCCTCACAGCCCGCCCATCATATTATTGTGTGCCAGAATTTCTACTGTTCAGAGAGGAAACAAACAATGTACAAGCAACATGAGGTGCTTCCTCATGTTACTGGGATTTGAAGAAGGAAGAACTTCCAATCAGGCAAAAGAAGAGTTGATGATGAAAAGGCACAAAGGTCTATCTTGTTTCTGTTCCAAAGTTTAGCCCAGGAACCTGCTTTTACTGAGAGTTCAAGGGGCTTAAGATGAAACAACTATAAGGATAATTAAGAAAAACAAAACCAAAGCAAGAACACAAAACCTCTCTGTGCTACCGAGGGTAATGTAATAACGATGCACATGAACCTGTAATCCTCTGCCAGTTAAATAAAAGTCTCTCCTTTCTGTATCCCATGTTTTAAACATTGAAAATTAGTACATGTGGTATTTTTAGTATAGCTTTAATCAACTAAGATGGCAGTTCATCTTAGTGATGTTGTGTTATTTATTAATTCATTGTCTTATTTATTAATTCATTGTCTTATTGTTTCTACTTCTTTTATACCTAAAAAGTGTTCGAGCCGGGCACGTTTAGTTATGAAGTCATATAACATTAAGTTAAGACACAAAAAATTCTAAATGAAACTTGAGGAGACTCTCATCTCTTGTGTTTGTAGACATCACACATATTCATAAATCAAATACTGTGCATATTTAAGCCAGACCAAATTACTAAAAAGCACTGTTTCTCCCATTAGAAAAAAAAAATGCAATTATTCTGCTGAGTTATGTTTTTAAAATAGCTTGACATTTTAAATAATTGATGAATATGTAATTTGCTAATCAGTAATGGACAGTTCCCATGGAGGTATCATCACTAGTTTTACTAATTTACTATTTCAGAAGAGTTTTACAAATGCAAAGATTAAAGCTAGGAAGCAGAGAGAAACCACTCCAGTATGATATTATCCGACTTAACACCCATGATACTTAACAGTAATAACAATTAAGTGTCACAACCTAAGTCAAGGTGTTGAATTCCTGTTGGGGTGAGTTACAGATAGACATTTATATGGAGTGATGTTTCCTCATACTGAATTCCCCATACATACCCATGAACCCAAATGAATATCAGAGCAACATACTGTACTGTGAAGGAGTAAATGATATTTTAGCTTATACCTTTATTTTTTGTCTCTTTTCTCCAGGTGATAATAAAGATCTCATTTATCATGCATGAATGCTTATATCCTCTTTCTGAGAACATTTCTAATGTTGTTGGTTTAAGAGAGAAAAGTCATTTATTTCAAGGTTGCCTTATTAATCTACAGTTTTTGATAAATATCTTGATGATCTGGTTGGTCAATTTGTCTTTATGGCCTAAGAAAGAAGCCTAGCTGCCAAGTTCAATGCCAATGAGCTGGTATATGAATATTCACAAGGTCATCGATACCCACAGTGTCTTACAATCATGCTCCCAGCTAAACAAAAATAAAAGTCGAATGGCCACGGATGTTACAGTATAATAGGAAAAGAGCTAAAAGATATGTACAAATTCATCGACGACATCTGTGCAAGTGTCGTGGACAAAACATTCAAAAGGAAATCTACAGAAAACAAAGTAGATAAATTTATCAAATGTTGATAAATTTTCAGAGACAGTATAAAAGTACACAAAACATGGAAGAGAGAAAGAATTTTAAAAAGCAATCACTAAGCCAATACATACAGTACAGGTTTGCTACATTTATATTACAGAAGGATGGAAACCAGAGACACAAACAATTTGGTAACAGCAAAGAAAGTTTCACCAATCACAGGGAAGAAAGACTTTCCTTTTTGGATGAAAACACAGACTGCCACAACTCATTCCCCCGACCCATACACACATAGAAAAGTAAAAGCAAATGCAAAACTTGTCTACAGCAACACACGACAGACAGAGGTGGGAAGCGTTTGGCATGTTGCATCACAGGAAGTCAATCACGATTGGCTAACGATGGTGGTACCTGGCTCTGTTGCAGGTCACTGGCTTGCCTGAGAGGAGTAACTGATGGAGGGGGCACACCTGACGTGGATGCAGACCGGCCTAGCTTGCAGCTGACTTTCGGTTCTGTGGACAAGGGAAAAAAACTATGTTGAGCATAAAAGTCAGCAGTGATGACTGTTGCTTACAAACTACTGATTGTCTTTTGCTGTGCTCTTTCCATACACTCAATACTTCTGATGTTTGCGAATCATTGGCAGGTGATGAAACAATTTAATAACAATTGACTCTAAAATGGGGCTTTATTTGAAGATGAGCTCCTGGCAATAAAATACAAATTGAGGAAACAGGAGGCCTTGTTCCCTTGCAAATTTTACCCCATTTGGGATCAGTTTCTAGAGACCGATTATTTTAGCAGCTACACCCCATCAGGGGAGAAAGCAAGTACATGATGATTTTCAGTACTTTATTTTCAGCTCTGGTCCATAGGAGTCCTATCCCTTAAAAGGCCTCTTTCACCCTCTCCAATTTTTTTCCTTCCTTCCTTCCTTCCTTCCTTCCTTCCTTCCTTCCTTCCTTCCTTCCTTCCAAAACCCTAACCCTAACCCTAACCCTAACCCTAACCCTAACCCTAACCCTAACCCTAACCACTAAACCTAACCCTAACACTAACTCTAACCCTAACCCTAACCCTCCCTCCCTTCTTTCCACCCTTCCTTCCTTTTTTCTCTCCTCCTCTTTTATTTTTTCATTCCTTCTTTCTCTTTCTAATGTTGAAGTGTATATCATTGTGTTTGTGCTTACTACACTTGTTATGTTTTCAATATTATATTTCTCTAACTTATCTCCAGTTGTTTTAAATTTTATGAACATCTTCTAAGACTTTTGCACTCTTCTATAATAATCGCATTTTTCATAATTAAAAAAAACATTCCCCTAACTCTTCCTCTATTTAAAGAGCCCAAATGAGCTGCCTAAGCCACTGACAAGATATTTTGGAGATTAGAATTTGAGATGAAAAGAGTTCCACTTATTCAGGAAGTATACAATTTATGGTATACAGAGAATGTTGACTTTCAGATATGCTTGAAGATATTTGATAATGGAGAGAAAAATAAGGCATAAAAAGAAAAACTGAATTCTCTGATTTTATCACAAACTTTTCTATTAGCTGTTAGATATTGAGTGACCAGTATATATCCCAGCTTTTGTTTGAGCTACACTTAAATTATCTCTAACCCTAAGGACATTCTTCAGAGATACAGAGTTAGATCTAAACGCTCCCAGTTTACAAATGAGAAACCTAGGGCTCGGCACGGTCAATATTTGTATCGCAAATAAACAAGTGCTTTTCAAACCTCCCCTTCTTATATATATAAATTTGACTTAAAAATTTAACTCATTGAACAACTAGCTTCCAATGGCATCATATCACTAAGCTACAGAGACGTGACTCGCCGATGCCAGAGCTGGAATGTGCCCAGCGCCATTGGAAGGAGAGAGACTGTGCTGCACACGTTGAGTTTAAACACCCGTCTTTTTGCCATTTCTATACGAATTGCACTTGAGAGGAAAGCTTCGCTACATCTGCCTTACATGGACTTTTTACTGCCAACTTCAGCCTCATCGACTGCCTTCCAGCCAATCCTTCGCCACCCCTCACAGGAAGCAGACACACAAAATGAGACACATCTTGCCCATTCACACATGGCTCCTTAAACACCGCCTTGTCTCCCATGCCTGTTTCTGCCTGTTCGACAACGTTTCAAGGTATACTTTAAGGAAATAGTAATAAATGAAATACTCTAGTATTCAGAAGAGTGGAGAATAGATGAGCTGATGGTGGGTAAAGGTGGGGCAAAGTTACCTGTGAAGTCGAGAAACTCAGCACGTGCTCAATGCTTTAAGCGAACGTTGACTCTCACATTGCCTCTCCTCCCTCCTCCCCCCACACACTCACTCATACTCACAAGTGCACAGAATCACGGGCACAGATGTGTGTGTGGTCACCCTCACCTGACTCCTCCTGCCCCATTTAAGGAAATTGAATCCACCATTCTCCTTCTGGGGAAAAATATCCTTCTCTTCCCCATCTCATTCACAGTTTAATCTCTCTTCTTTTGTTCTTTTTTGTCTCTTTGTCTCTCGTTTGCCTTTTCCCTTGGCACTTTCTCCCTCAGATCTGCGTTCTTGTGGCTTCTTATGGCATCTTTCCCTCTTGAGTCACTCAGGAGATTCTACAGCTCTGTCCGCTCCCCGCGTGCTGGTGTGATTCTGAGCCCCAGTGCTATCTAGACACTGTGCCATCTCATTGCCTCATGATGAAAATCGAATTAGAGCTTTTTCTCGATATCTTGGAACGTCCCTCTGATTTTCCTATTTATAGCAGGAATATCGCCACTGTTTTTCCTGGAGGCTTAGAATCTAAATCTCACACTTTTACAATTCAGCGCTTTCTTTTCTTCTCTATATAAAGTTAATCTTCTTGGCAATATTTTTTTTATTCTTTGCGATGGCTTCTGTATCTCAACTCACTGATGCTATCATAATTTTGGTCTTCAACAACTGTATATTATCTTATACATATCAGAATATATAATATGATATATAATTATATACATATGTATATATGTTTATTTTTATTAGGAACCCCCTTGCTGACCCCTATAATCTCTCCACACAAAACTAACTTGGACACGATGCTGGCCTGAGTCACCTAGGTTACTTTTAGGCCACCAACCTTATTAAAAAATGTCCAAGTATTTAATATTTCATATGATAAAACCCCACATACCATGCACACGCAGGCAGACACCAACATATACACATCTGTGTGTATATATAAACAGACACACACACACACACTCCACAACATTGCTGAATAATGGCGTCATGTCATAAGGCCATTTTCTTAAATTATACGGTTTTGTTGATCTTTATCACACTCATGTTGATTCTTATTCTGGTTTCACATAGTCCTTAACATAAATGTGTCTGGAATCTGTCATGGTGTTAGTGGGACCAGGTTGTTGAAACTAATTCTTATGATGTTGGATCCGCCAAGGTATTTTTGGCTTAAAGAATCATCTGAAAAGGTTCCAAAATCCTAGAAAAGAGCCTGATATACAAAAGCCTCTTAGAGGCCTTCCAAGGTTGTGACATCAAACTTAAATTGTCAGACTTACTTACTTTGGAAAGACACCGTGCTTTGAGCCTTAAACCATGAGGTCTAGGAGACTTGGCACTGAAAATGGTAAGTTTTCGTCCTGAATTTTGCTAATATGAAAATGTCCGAGGCTTTTGTGGGTCTAAAACAATGAACATATGCCTCAAAAGAGATCTAAGATAGAGCTTTCTTTCCCCAAGAAAAATTCATTCCATTAAAAGATTAACTGGAAGATACCTCTTCTTCCAACACTCAGGGAAAACCCTCTTCCTTTGTAAACTATCAGTACCATCCTAGAAATAAAAGTTGATGTTATTTGTGCAATTTCAGTAAAGATCAAGAGTAAAGAGAACAAAAAAGAAAAAAAAAGTAGATTAAGAAAGAAAGAGACAGAATGGAAAGGAGGGAGGGTGAGAAGGAAGGAAGGAAGGAAGGAAGGAAGGAAGGAAG